GATGAAATATTGGTGAGAGCAGTATGTTTATTACTTATGTTTTAGTGGAGCTTCTAAATGATAGAAAATAGTCATTTTTACACATATTATGAGACATGTCTATTTTAAGGCATTTGAAGCTATAAATAGAAAACGGAACTCCCTTCAAATAATATGCATAGTAGTTACTGGTGTCCAGTTTATGTCATTAACATATTGACTTTTACAGTATATTTCTTAAATACCTAACAATGGCATCTTAAACTCTGCCCAAATTTGATTTTTTAGATTTTTCTGAAATATGTCTATTTATAGATACATGTTACTAAAAATAGTATTGAGATCCCACTCCAATTTTTTCATGAGGTGACACTCCTAATTCTGAAGTATGGAAACACACATAAGATTTGAAAAATTTCCGTAGACAATTTTTTTTATTTAACCTTAAAGTTCTCAAAAAATACCAAATTTCCCATTTTTCACATTTTCAGAAACTATGTCATTTTACAGGACCTTTTTCTTAGAGTGGGAATAATTCTGGAATAACCGATTATATGCCCTGTATACCTTAAAAGTTGATGTTTTCTTATGATACAATGATTTATGTTTGAGTTTACTACATAAAGATAAAAATGCATTTACATTTTCTCAATTTTCATGTTTTTATTTGGTCAAAAAGGGCCAAAAACGGCCAAATTCAATGGATCCGTCTCCATGGCAACCGGGTGCACGTGTGAAACTTCTAACACCATATTTACTAGTTTTGTGCCAAGCTGCACCTATGGTGCAAATTTCATCAAAATCGGAGAGATGTCGTTTGATTTTTGGTGCTTACAGAGAATGCATGTTAAATGTTTACATCCGTTCACCTGTTTTGATACTACGAAGACAAGAAAATTTATTAACTTTTTCTATGTCATCTTCTTTAAATGTTACTGTTCGCTTCGTGATCGGAAGTCGTGGGTTTGAACCCTGGCCGCGACTGACTTAAGTGGATAAAAAAAAAAGGTAGTAACTGTTCCTTTGCCAAGCGCTCGGCACTTTGAAGTGAAAGTTGCGGGTCCTTCGGATGAGACCTTTCAAACTGAGGCCCTATGTCACGGCATGTGCGTGAAAAGATCCCTCACAGCTCAATGACCCTGAGTGCAGAGTAAAGGTTTAAATCTAAATTTTTGAAGATCTTCACCGGTATATTGTGACGTTTCTATATGATTGAAAAATTCTCAAATGGGACGTTAAACAAATTACAATCATTCAATCAAATGTTACACTTCATCCTGTCTTGGTCATAACTCTACCTTTTGCCTCGTTTTTCCATTTCAGATGTTTTATCTTGTCTGTCTTGGCTGTTAGAGTGTGAAATATAAGTAAAATGTCTTCGGCAAAGTTTATGTCTAATACGATATTAAATAATCGTTGGAGGACTGGATTCTCTTGCACTTTTGTAAATACCCAGTCAACAAATATCAGAAACAGTGTTGGTTAAGGGGAAAACCTTATAAAATCTCAGTTTTGCAGTATTACAAAAATGATTCTATCAGTTTTTTTATGAATTATTTGTACTTTTGACTTTGTATAATCTTTATTATGATAACAATCTAAACTGGAATTTCATAATGTCTTAAGTTAGTAGTTTACCTAAAACAATGTCTATTGATGATATCAAACTGACTTCGTGTTAATGCAGATCGTCAATATTCTGATTTTGGATTTCTCTGACGTTTCTGTATACTTCAGCGCTAATCGTAGGTTTGTAAAATCCTGCATTCCTTTGCATTCATATGTTTACCTCAGTTCCTCTGTTTTGTTTATGATACTACTAAAATAAGAAAAACTGATTGATCTCTTCTTTGTTATCTTATGCGAATGTCACAATCCCTTCACAGGTCTCTCATTTTTCTTGGTATAGAACTTGAGTTTCTTTTTCAACGTTTCATTTGTTGTATCCTCTTATGAATGTTAGAGTGTAATATGAAAATGGAAGGTTCTTCTGCAAAGTCTAGGTCGTATATTCTCTAACCGAAGGGGACTGAATTCTCTTGCACTTTTGTGAAGGGCTCTTGTTACTCAGCCGACAACTTTCAAGAATAGTGTTGGTAATTAGGGAGCAACCTTGTTTTACTCCAGTTTTTCAAATAAATTATTCTATCAGTCAAAGTTATTTTATAAATCATTTTTACTCTTTACTTCGTACAGTGTGATTTTCATGTTGTCAGTCTTAAATGGAATATCATAATGTCTTCGTAGTTCCCCTAAAACTCTCTGTTTTGATATCAAACGCCTTTACAGAATCGTTGAAGTTGATCTAAAGTGATTGTTGCCATTCTACATACTGCTCTATAACAATTCTTGGTGCAGCTTTTGATCTGTGCAAATTCTAATGAATCTAAATCTGGTTCCTTCACTCTTCAGAATCTTAAGCAAGCAGCAGATCTTGCTTGGTAAAAAAAAGCAACATGAGGCTTCTCAATGTTTTGCAGAGATTACGATGTCCCATCTTTGGTTTATGTAGTTATATAATCAGTCCATTCTTCCACTTAGTAGGATTCTCTCTACTATTCATACTTTTTTAACAGTCTATACATATTCATGTATTTCTCTTTTTCTTATCATATCAACTAGTTTTTCGTCAATTCCAGCTGTTTTTTTTTCATATTGAAAAGATTTAACACTAGTGGCTGTTGTCAATTCCTTCTAGCTTCTTCTACCTATTTTTTTGTATTCAGGTCTTCCCCAACTTAATTTGTATTGGTTCCCTAAAGATTGGTCTATTTAGTACTTCTTTAATGTGTTTGTTTCATCTATTTAGTTTTTCCTCTAGATATAGGTTTAAAGACACTTTTTTTGACTGGGTTGGCTAAACCAGATCGTCTCTTTTTCGGGGTTTTTATGATGTTATGGGATGTTATATGTTACAAATCTCCTCTATGGGCTGTCAGCTCAGCTTTCTTAGCAAGCTCATATATAAAGTCTTTTATTCTTGCCTGCAGTTATGACCAACCTCTTTGTCTGGCTTTTGTTATTTAGTTTGAAGCTGAGGTCTTTGAATATCATTGATCATGAATTGCTTTTTTCCTAAAATTGCTGTCAATTGTTTCAGTAAAATCAGTTCTTTCATTTAATTTATTTTTTTTTTTTTTTTTTTTTTTTTTTTTTTTTTTTTTGGTTAGGATTTCAATACTTTTTTGAAAATGTCTTTGCCATTTATCTAGGTTTTTTTTGGTGGTATATAGACTTTAAATTTGAATATATAGTAGGATTGAAAATTTTTCTTTAAATCTTGTCTTTCTTTTTTCAACGTTTTTCATATCTGACTTATCATGATAAGATCAGTCTCATTTTCGTAAATCCATTTTGCGACTCCCATGTTTATATTTAGATATTCATATGAGGGAAAATGAAGCCTCCTCCGGCAAGTGCATTTATTTCACGGAATTCAGTCAGAAGTTCTTTTGCATTCACATCCCTTGATGCCTTACAGATAAATCATGCCTTCCCATTGCCTTCTCTCTGTTTTATACTTCCTTGACAACCTTTGCTTATGTCGCACTGAAATGTGTCGTTTTGGAATTCCTTCTGATCATCTTAGTGCACGCACTTCTTGACTGAACTGCAATATACTAGAAACAAAATACATGTATAGCGGAATTGAATAATGAATAATGATACGTCATTCAGCTTTTATCTTACAATGTGGTGTTTAAGATGTCTGTAACAAAGCTTAGCAATATCCAAAATGTATCACAAAACGGCCAAAGTATGATTAATATTACAGTTAATGAATCGTTTGTAAGTCTAAGTAGAAAAGGAATCTCGCCATTTTGTTTTTAGTGGCAGCCATCTTGAAAATGGCGGAAATACGATGGCCAACGATGATTTTAGAAACAGTATTATCGAAAGATAATTATGTCAAATTTCATGTTTGTCTCCACAATTGAAATACAGTAAAACTGGCTTATAACTAAGTCAATGGGACCTGTGATATAACTTCGCTTTATCCGTAATTCCTTATATCCGTATAAGGAATTCGTTAAATTTATATAGCTGGGGATCCAAGAAAACTTCGCTATATCCGTGAATTCGCAATATCCGTGTTCGTACCAAACGAGATTTACTGTATTGAGTGAAATTTTGCTCTAAGCCGCTATACTATTAAAGTAAGTTATACAGGTGTATTTCTGACATGTTGTTATGATCCCTTGCATAAGATAATTTTTATAACGCTACATACATGTATTATTCGTTTTCAAGTGTATACAAGTACATGTTTAGTGAAAGCCATGGATAAACGGAGGAAAAAGGGTTGCATCTGTCTCTGTCAAAAAAGCGTCAGGATTAAAACTTTTAATAAGAAAATATAGTATTTTTTAATAATATGATATGCATAATTTATTCTACAAAGTGATTGAACTTAAGTATAATAATTGTAGACTTTTAACAAGAGTTGAAGTTCAGATTAATGGTTCAATTATTACATATACTTAGAATATTTTCGACGTTAAACAACAAATAAACAAACAAATAAAAATTTAATATTTTCCTTTTTCCAGGCGTTTTTCGGTGATTTTTCCCTGAATGACCTATCATTTGGTGCAGTGGGGAAAACGTACAATAAATCGATCGTTTGGCATTATTGTACGACTTAAAGAAGATGAACCATTTTCATGTACATGGTGGTTAAAGAACAGCTGCAACGTACACAAAATCGGATTCTTACTTTTGCATAATTATCATACTTGGATGGCATGTGACATTTTACTATATAAAACCGATGTATTCCCTTTAGGAAAAGCTGTCTCGTGCCAAACTACTAGTAACCGGTAGTTGTAAAAATGTTTTTTAAGTAATTCAGGCAAAAGAAGGATAACTCTAATAGCACCATATTACAATATCATTTGCTAGCTTGGTATTATCCACATCAGATATGAGCGTGTAACATAAATAGCGATGACTTTAGTATATTAATTTTTTCTCTAAATTTTTCATATATTATTCCTTACATAAAATAAAAGAAAAACAGATAAAATTAAACATTGTTTAATTTATTGTATAATATTTGTCTTTGAAACTTGAATATCCGTTTAGCTTCCGCATAAATTGTGTAAGCGGGCGAAAGAGCTCTTTGTACATAAAAATCATCTCTCAGTATATCCATCTCATCTTCGTATTCTTCGTTGTAATCAATTTGTCTGTCATCTTCAGATAATAAATGAGCTTTATTTGTCTTTTGAATTTCCTCTTCAAACGTGGAGTTTACTTTTCTCTTGGATGAACATTGTCTGAAAGGTCCTCCAAGAGCAAAATCAAACATTGACAAAGATTCCTCAAATCTTTCGAATAATCCAATTACAGAGAACCATTGCCGAAGATTACGGGCTATATAATTAGCAACGTGGCCTTTTTCGTTATCAGATAATTTATCATTTTCCAAATTCTGTCGATGCCAACAGGGGTATTTAGAAGCATCTGCAGAAGAATTTGAATGATGACTGAAGCAAAGATGAGACGAATACAGAAACTGGTTCAAAAGCAATCCCCCATTCTCAATAATCCAATCCCGAAGACAAAGTGATTTAGATTTAACCTGTAAGCAAAATTCATGTGTACCACTTTTTAAACAGTGATTATACAAGGAAACCATACTTTCAAATGGATCACGAAAGAAAGTAAAGTAGCGACATTTACGTTGCAATTTTTCGCAAAGTCCAAATGCAAATGTTCCTCTGTGAATGTCTATTCTGTTTTGGAATGAAACTGTATTTGGATTTCCCGTGTCCCAAAGTAACCTGTTTTTCGAATTCATTAACGGGGACATGGCCATATTTTTGGCGTAAGATAAGTTGTTCAGACACATGATCACGTGATTTCCAGCTGTTCGTGGATGATGAACAAACACGAGTGTTCGATTATCTTTCTTTATATCCTGCATAACGACAGATTGCTTGTTGGGTTGAAGAAAGATATTTGGCACTGTGAAGTTTTTAGGGAGCCATGCCAGTCTGGACAGCAAAATGTTTTCTGCTGCTCTTTCTCTTTTTCTTTGCAGCACATATTCATCATTTTGAAAAGTTTTTAAAGAGCGCATTACTTCAACGATTTCTACATCTTCTTTAGCACTGCAAAAGAGAAAAGAACATAATTATCAATAACTTCGAACATACTTTGCATATATATGTTCATAAATGTACATGGCTTAATTCTATTTAAATATTTATGATAACATGTATTCTTATTATTTTTAACAAATATATAGAAATACATGCTGTAGAAAAAATATCAACTTCACCAGACCAAAACAAAAAAAAATCGTTCTGGAAATAAATTTTCCTCGTACATCAGGGAAGAAATACAACATTGAACACTTTTTCTTTTTATTCAAAATATCATGAAGTGATATTTGGGGAAATAAAGAGATAAGTGGAAATTTTCTTGGAGTTAACTCTCTTTCAAGTTTTCAACGCTAGTGATTGTTTGTTTATCTAGAGTATGGATTCTAATTATTAAAATTCTGTTTGATATCGGTTTTCCCCCATTACTGAAACAAATCACTTATCCTACTGTATTTTCTTCACCAGTTTAACTTGAGTATTACAATATTCCGCCTCTATTTTCATATAGTCAACTAATTTTAGTGTACACGTGTTAAGATACCATATAATCGCAAGGGTCATAAATTTGAAATTTCGGGCAATAAAAGAAATTGTTAAAAATTCAATTGCCTTTTCATCAACTTATAAGCCTGAAATTTAATTCAAGAAAAGTCTACGTTAATCCAAACAGTTTTCGCTCTGCAGAAATAAGTTAAAGCCCAGGTACCAGGAATATATATAATAGGTAAATTAATTAGTGGCATACATGATACTTCGAACTGGCTGACTCGCGTCAACGAGGATTATTTACTGCAGTTCTTCAATGTCTGACAGTCTGTAAATATACTGACAGCCTGATAAATATCTCTAGGCAGGGGCACGGTACGGGACAACCGAGTCAGAGCAAGGGTAGAGGAACAGCTGGTTCTAGAGGCAACTGAAGGGACCAGCATTGAATGGTCGACAATTAATTGATAGAACAGACATTATATTCATTAAAAGTACAATTTTAAAGGAGCCATTCTTACGTTGGACCACTTCCTATTATATGGATATGTTTTTGTCCAGCTTTGATACTTTAAAAAATTGTAGGGTGTTGTATGCATAGGAAAAATGTAATATGATGGGATAATTGCCATTTTTAAACACATCTGTCAAATATAATTAGCTAGAAGGAAACGGAATACTAGAAAGCATGGATGTATGACATGTGGTAATCTCTGTGCCGAAATAATTAACGATTTACTTTTTTTAGGATTTGGTGGGGAACTGGTCATCTGTGTGCATCCTTGGGAACAAAACAAACACACTGAGATATATATATATATATATATATATATATATATATATATATATATATATATATATATATATATATATATATATATATATATATATATATATATATATATGAATTGTATATCTATACAAAAGAAAAGGTATGAATCTGGGATTTTTATTAATTTGTATAAAACTATATATTTGTATATGGATCTAATATCCGACAAATTGTGAATACTCAACCAGAGCTGATAACTATTACGAAATGATGTGGAATCATATTGCAAAGTGGCAAAAACTACATTCATAACATTTAAAGTTAGAGCATAACACAAATGAATAACCAGAGGCCAAATACAATATTATGAACATTCTGAACAATGTAAATTAAACAGCGTAGTTATGTTGTGTATTTAAATGCCTATTTTATAGTACATGTGGTCCTTTCCATATTTTGATTGAAACCCACGATTAATGCACAAGTTTAATTGATATAACAAATATACTCCGTCTAAAAGCACTCGTTAATGCATTGTTCAAAATGGAATTTTTTTTTATTCTTTGCAAAGTTTTGTTTTGCCATCGATTACGTGCCCAAATCTCTTCTTTTTTTTTTCTCGTACAGCTTCGTGCTTGCCAATGAACCCAGAATAGCAAGCATTTATCATAACATTAGTCCACTGACAGTTGACATACATCAGGGATCGAATAACTTCTTAAGATTAGTAGTAAAATCAGCACTTTGACATAAATGGGTGCAAGCAGGTTCTGGATTATGTCAGTGTTAAATATTATGTGGCAAAACGCCGTGAAGAAAATAATAAATTGCACAGATAATTATCGAAAAAAGAAACATGAATCTGAGTTATGGCGGACGGTTTTTTCTCGCTAGTGTCATATTGCATAACTAGAAACAGGAAACGCTTGCGTCAGATTAGGACCTTTTTACTTCTTGTGCCACTTTAATGGCCTTCACAAGTAAAGTCACAAAAGTATTTTTCTCGCATTATCTCTAACTAAAATCGACGTCAATTAGCTTTTTTCAACTCCGGGACAATAAACATATCTTTAAAGTGTCAACCCATTCAGAATCAATGCACGTCAAATAGTGTAAGGATTTTTTTTTCAAGTCCTGCTTATTTAAATCCCGCGACAGGTTGATGTTTACAAATACTTTATCAGTCAAAATTAAATATCTTGACAGTTATGAGTCCTGAAGTATAACGTCCCACGTGCGATTGTTTTTGGAGTAAAATGATAAATAGAGGATTTACCCAAGCAACAAATTAGCCTGGGATTATTTGTCAATATTCTACGTGGACGGGGGCAAGACAAAGATCAAGTACAAATTTCGAAGAATGGTAAAAAGTTGTGTAAATATTGAGATATAACTGGGCAGACGACACAAGCATTTGGTAGATTTTTTGTCCAATAATCGCCTGTCTACGGGAACATTTTTCATATACCTAATTCCGGTTGGGATTAAAAAGATCAAAGTGTCGTTTACAGAAAGAAAGTAAAATTAATTTTTTACAAAAACTTTTGACCCAACATTTCATGTTTGTCAAATTAGATCTCTGGGAAAAAATATAATTTGAAATGGTCAAACAAGTCGTAGATCAAGTGCCTGGGAATATGTCACCCTGACAATATTGACAATAGGCTTCTAACCTCTGTTCTCCTTAAGATAATTACGCAAATTAACACAGCAAGTCCCTATTCTCAGCAACAGCGAATGAACTATTGACATATAACGGACGAACTTTGGGACGCGAACTGCCAACATATTGGCCCCAGTTATGATTTGACACCGTGACACAAAGGAAAATTGTGATGAAAACAATGATAGCGCACATACCGTATGAAATTATCGACAAAAACGAAATTCTTTTTAAGAGGAAAACTTATCAAATAAGGCATATTTTTGAACAGATGAAAATCAGCATTTCAAAACAAATTATTAAGCATTCATTGTTTTACATGTTAAAGTCTGATATTTTTAATGATTTTTATTATCAATTCACAAAAGAAAATTACCTAACAATAGTGCAACAGATATAATTAAACCAAAGGTATTAATTAATACCCTGCATTTGACTACTTACTCGTCTTTCAAACTTGCTTTCTTGCAAACCAAAAGCAAGAGAAATCCAGACACCAAAACAGTAATGAAAGTTAGTGCAACTTGAGAAAACGTTGACATGACAAGTGCAGGGATAATCAACAGCGAGATGATAATCCTAAAGGCAACATAACTATAAAAGAAAACCTAATTGTCACTGTGGAAGAGAGGTCCTGCACAAGTGGTTTATGAATGACAGCAATGAACAAACATTATTAAAATTGTCCAAACTTCACGATAAAGCCTGTATGATTACATGACACTTGTGACACGAGGGAAAATGCTCCACTTCAGTGCGCGGTACATACTGCGAATGTTTCTATATACATGCAGTCATGCTCTTTTCCTCTCCGCTTCAAGGAAATCGAACGCCAGGCGCTTAATGGTATGGAAAGCAGTACGCGCGATAATGATTTGTTAAAATGAAAGTAGCAGGCTCTCCACTCTACCTTGATGAAGAAGTAGGAAAAAATTAGAATTAACCTATTCAAAATAGCAGGAAAAAGTAGCAAAATCACCAGAAAATGTAAATTTAAAAAAAAAAAAATTTTTGGTGATCATTTTATCACTGTTCAAAAATGCAAATCTAATCTCAGACAGATCTGCGAATACAACTGTACTAACTGGTACAGGGTTAGCTAAGGAGTGCTTGATGTTGAAAGAAATAAAGGCAGAGGGTTTGTGGGACGCCTTGAGGCCCCTAGTGATGTAAGTCCAGGGAGCAAATGCCCTAGAAGCTGATTAGTTCTCGGCATTTCTTATAGCTAAATTTGAGTGTCCACGAAAAAGGATTTACAGTAAATTACTCTGAAATTTCAACATTAGAAATGCTGATTTCAACATGAAATTTTATGATCAGGTAGAAATGGGCTCTCCCGGTTTATGATTGGATATGATGTTATCTAACATGTGATGTACTTTCGATGTGCTTTTTATCCTAAACCCTACCTTACTGTAAAATGGATATTGTTGCATATATCATGTGTTTAAAATTAAATAATTTATATTTTAAATTCTGCTTATTTTCTTCATTTAGTGTACCTTGTGCATTCAGAAAGTAGTACTGTAAATCACCAAATTTTTGCGACATATTATTTGCGCGAAAAAGTCGTATTTATAGGTGATAAAAAAATTTCGCGAATATTTGATATTGTTTGAAAAACTTTAATAATACAAGTCAATTAAGAATGAAATTTTCGCGTTATCTACGAGGACGAAACTTTTGCAAGCAGACGGTCGTTATTAAAATAAAGTTTTCCTCTTAAAATAAAAAGTTATTTACAGTAGTTTTAAAACTGGGAATCTTATCCATATTAAGTATTTACACAAAATGTTAAATCACTGTAGAATTATGGATATTATCGTATTATGAACAGTGCACTGCTTTATAAATCAAGAACGAGCTGTGTACAGTGTATATTGAATGAATTTCAGTTCTTTTTTAAGTGGAAGTACCTGCTTAAGCGTATAGCTACCGCCCTGAAAATTCTTTAGAAAAACATTATCTTTTTTCTCACAGTTTGATTTATAATCCTCCAGGTTTTAACTTATTTTACTTTTACTTCCTCCTTCGTCTTTTCAATTACAATATATGTCTTTCCCTTTTTTTAACATTTTTGACTAAAAAGAAGGAATAGTAGTAGAATTTTAAAGAAAAAAATAGGAAAAAGTAGGGAAAAGTAGGAAATTAAAAGTGGAAGCAGTAGAGAGCCTGAAAATGGCTTAAATTTTCAAAGAAACATTTTACTGTTGTTTTGATATCCCCTTCTCTTTGCAGAAATAGATAAATTAATAAAACCAGAATGTTCTCAGGGAAAACACAGAGTTATTTTGAAACTTTTCATTTGTTAATACTATAATGGACCAGAGACAAAAATTAACAAAGTCAATTTGAAATCAGATGATGGTTCGAATAAAAAAGATAATGGGTACACCAGAATTACAAAAATGTAAGTGTTAAGACCTTGTTTATTTATTTGACCATCTTAAAAGAAAATGAAGTCGTGGTAGTTTTAGGCTTTTAGTCCTAAATAAATACTCTAAAAACGGATAGGAGAGGAAATGTGCACAAATAATCAAACATAACACGCCTCAGGCCCATGACAAAACTCCAAACCACATCTAGAGTAGACGTTAAAAGAGTGACATATTTTGAGCGAAAAGCAACTCAGTGCAAAGGATTTGAACATGCATACAGTGTCTGTGAGTATTTAATCACCTTAATTTTCTATAAACTAATGAAACAATCCAATGTTCTTAAGAGTCGAATATCAGTTTTTGCTTTATATAAGACACTACCCGAAGTCCATACCAACATGTACCAACAAAAATCAGATCAACGTAAGAACGACACAGATCTAATAGTCTTTATAATTACATTTGCAAACTTCCTTATATTAAGGTCAACATGTATTTTTTTTACTTTATTTTTTGGAGTTGCTGTAGGGAACGTCTAACAGTATTGGCATATTTTTACACCAAGTCAAGTTAGATTACCATGAATTAATCTTAGCTTGACAGATAACATAAGTCTGTGTATACAAAAATACATGGCGCGGCTGTTGGTATATCGGATAAACTTCAGCTTCTCAAAACAATACGGAGCTGTTCCATCTGATATTGCCCTGCGATAAGGGCTGAAATGTGCGCTTTCTCCCTCAGTGGGAGAGAATAAAATCGCGGTTTTTAATGTGACTGACAGCAATGATGAAACCTCCCACTATGCAGTTTGTTGAAAGATCGCACAAAAAAATCTTTAAAATTTTACTTACCATTTCATTAATCTAAATTTCTGCCAAGCGTTGACGCCCTTTGCAAATATTCAGGAACATCGTTAAATTACAAAACATTAATTTACAGGATAATAGATCTAGAATAAAATAGTTTCCGGGAAAAAAAGATGCATAGCTTGATATTTGATTTGCAGTATGCATGCTGTTATTTATATATTTTTTTAAATTGATGCCGCTTTCTTTTATGTTTATTTCTCAATTTTAAAAGATTAAATGTATTTAGGATCAGCATAAACTTATAATGCATGGGACCCTAACTAAATAAACAGGGAACGAAGATATCACATTTTAAGGAAGAGAATGCATCTTTCAAGCAAACAAATTGTCTGCTGGGTGCCAATGTGCAAAGGAAATTCTTAAAATTAATGCGTTTGCAAATTCGTCCCATCCTGTCTACAAACCCTTGAATTTGTTTAGAGAATTTTCAAATCAATTGAATTTATGAAATCCATTTTTCTACAAAATTTGCATGAAATATATGAATATTTTGAAGATAATTAAACTGCATTTATGGCCTAAGAATCCACTGGACGGTCCATTGCGCATTATATCATGAATGCAGTTTTTTTTCTGTTTATTTATTTATTCATTTTTCTTGCTGTTTTTACAGAAGCACAGATTGAAGGATTTAAAGGAATTAGTACATGTAATTTCAGAGGTTTTGGTCGCATGCTTTAGAACTTAATTTTTATTATAAATTCCGTCGAGGAGTATGTTCGAAGATGGGCTAAATATGAAGTGGAAGACATTGACACTCTGTCAGAATGGATAGAGTTTTAGAAATATGTTAATATATTAATCAATTAAAGGGCAAAATGCAAACTTTCTATCCTTCCGTTTTCAGTACATCGGAAGAGATAAAGGAATTAGAAAGACTACATGCATGAAAAATATGTTATGGTTCCAGCTGCCAAAACTTGTTACAGTATAGTTTTGTTTGTAAAACTCATTATTAGAACGCATTTTAGAACTTGGTTTTATTTTCACATCTGGTGATCCAACTTAAACTCACAGTTCCCTTTCAAGGGATGAAACGCTTCAAAATCGCGTTTTAGTGTTATATATATACTTTTAAAATTCCAGTCAATGAAAGAGAGTTTTAATTTACCGTACCTATACTGGATTCCAAAACTTCATAAGAATCCTTACAAGGATACGATATCGCTTATAGTCAAGTAAATGTTCAACCAAGCCCCTATCCTTACTCCTCACCAAAATATTCACTGCTGTGAATGTAAACTTTCAGACATACTTTGCTACATGTAACAATATATTAACGAAGTGGCGCAAATCAAATGTGGATTCTCAAAAACTCCAAAGAACTCATGGAAAAATTAAAATCACAGAACTTTTTAAAAATCAATGGCATCAAAATATATGACTTTTCAACGCTTTAAACGACCATTCCTCGCGATAAACCAAAAACCAGGCTTTTTGACATCAAAAGTAACTGCTTCTTCAATAACTAGAAATATGTCCATAGGACATGAATGCCCCGCCAAGGGTATATTAGTAATGCAACATTTTAACACAAATTGAGAAAAGTGAGGTCAAGGTCAAAGGAAAGGTCAAGGTCAAAAAATATTGCTGCAGTTGAATAGCTTACATCAGTATGTATCAGCATATGACGTTTGATTCAGAAACTAATTTAAGAAAAGTGAGGTCAAGATCAAAGGAAAGGTCAAGATCAAAAAATGTTGATGTAGTTGAAAAGGTTACATCAGTATGTATTAGCATATGAAGTTTGATGAAAATATTATGAATGGTTTCTTTAAAACTGAGCTAAACACTAATTTAAGAAAAGTGAGGTCAAGGTCAAAGGAAAGGTCAAGGTCAAAAAATATTGATGCAGTTGAATAGCTCTCATCAGTATCAATCAGCATATGAAGTTTGACACTAATTTAAGAAAAGTGAGGTCAAGGTCAAAGGAAAGGTCAAGGTCAAAAAATGTTGATGCAGTTGAAAAGGTTACATCAGTATGTATTAGCATATGAAGTTTGATGAAAATATTATGAATGGTTTCTTTAAAACTGAGCTAAACACTAATTTAAGAAAAGTGAGGTCAAGGTCAAAGGAAAGGTCAAGGTCAAAAAATACTGATGCAGTTGAATAGCTCTCATCAGTATGTATCAGCATATGAAGTTTGACACTAATTTAAGAAAAGTGAGGTCAAGGTCAAAGGAAAGGTCAAGGTCAAAAAATGTTGATGCAGTTGAATAGCTCTCATCAGTATGTATCAGCATATGAAGTTTGATAACACTATCTTGAATGGTATCTTTAAAACTGAGCTAAAAACTTATTTAAGAAAAGTGAGGTCAAGGTCAAAGGAAAGGTCAAGGTAAAAAATATTGATGCAGTTGAATAGCTCTCATCAGTATGTATCAGCATATGAAGTTTGTTAAAAATATCTTGAATGGTTTCATTAAAACAGAGCTAAACATTAATTTAAGAAAAGTGAGGTCAAGGTCAAAAGAAAGGTCAAGGTCAAAAAAATGTTGATGCAATCGAATAGCTTACATCAGTATGTATCAACATATGAAGTTTGATTACACTATCTTGAATGGTATCTTTAAAA